TTGCAGAAGTGCTTTGAGACGATAGAGTAATGACACCTTGCTGCTTGAAGTGTTTTCACGTCCTCACACTGCTTGAACTTCGTGATGTTTTGTAAGTTTATGTTATGTGTAGTGCAAAAGGTACAATTGCTGCTATTTCCAGTGCTTAACGTGGTTCCCTTCTTCCCAGCAAATGCCAGATGCATTTAATTGCTCTGAAATGAGATTTCAGCGTGCTAAATTTTGTGCTGTAGCACAGCAAAGACCGCATCTCATCTTTAAAAGAAAAAGAAGTCCTTTATGTTAAAATTTCACATGTGAATCTTAATACTGATGTGAGTCATGACATCGTCTGTGAATGCTGGAGGTGATTTTGTTTCCCGTTCTTCACTTCTAGGCAGCTGTCAATGCCGGTAGCTGATGTTTTATCTGTGCCTCTGCTCCCGACAGCTGCTTGCTTGCAGCTGAACTTGTGCCGTCACTGACTTTCTAACAATTTTGAAAATACAAAATGTTTCTGCCTTAACAGCTGGTGGAAAATGTGGGGTTTTAGTGCTGCTAGGAGGTGGTGGTTTAAGATACTTTCTTCCTCATCCTTCCTTGCTGTGAGTTACCGTCAATAGCTGTGAACAGTGCGGAATGTTGGGGGTTGCGTACAGAAGTGGGACTGGTATTTTTAAAACTTTGCTGTTCTTTTGAAAAACTGGAAACCTGGTATGGCTGAGGTGGCAGGTTTTTATTTAGCACACTCCTGAAAAGTACAAGGTCTGAGTGTGTGTTAAGTGATTGCTTCCATTTCAGGAAAGATGGAATGTTGCTCTGTGCTGTACTTGTTTGCTGGTGCTTGTATGTCTTCACGAATCCTGTTCTGCTGCGGGCAGCATGACTTGCCTTTTCTACGGTGAGGAGACAGGCTAGGAATGCTTTCATTTTTCTGCTGTTTTGACTTAAAAATAGGCTACTGAAATGAAATGCCTGACTGAGTTGTGGAGACTAGCACCTATCCTGTGCATCCTCACCTCTCCCAAATTCCTCTGCTCCTTGGGCGAGTACCTGACAGGTTCTTTTTAGGCTTCCATGTATATGTATGTATGTATTTGGCCTCCAGGGGTGGCTGATGTGCCCTGCCTGGTGCAGGGCTGTGTGGGGCATCTGGGGCCAAGGGGAGAGTGTTGGCAGGCGGCCCTCGCCCTCGGTCTGCCCGTGCTGCTGAGCTGCTCCAGCTGACAGCCCCCTGGAGCGCGCCTGGTGGGGCTTCTTGGAAAGCATCGTTAAACATTGTCGTTGGCCACGAGTGCATCCTCGTCAAGTTTGCCAGTGAGCCCAAGCTGTGTGGTGTGCTGGACAGGCTGGAGGGGAGGGGGGCTGTGCAGAGGCACCTTGGCAGGCTGCAGAGGTGGGCTCCTGTGAACCTCCTGAGCTTCAACAAGGCCAAGTACAGGGTCCTGCTCCAGGGTCGGGGCAATCCCAAGCACAGACACAGGCTGGGTGATGAGTGGATTGAGAGCAGTCCTGCAGAGAGAAGGGCTTGAGGGGTGTTGGTGGATGAAAAACTGAATATGACCCAGTGATGTGTATCTGCAGCCCAGAAAGCCAATCGTGCCGCATCCCAAGCGGCATGGCCGGCAGGCTGAAGGAGGTGATTCTGCCCCTTAGCTCTGATGGAACCCCACCTACAATTCTCTGTCAGCTCTGGTGTCCCATACTTAAGGGCATAGACCTGTTGGAGCAAGCCTAGAGGAGGCCATGGGGATATTCAGGGGCTGGAGCACCGCTCCTGCAAGGACAGGCTGAGAGAGCTGGGGCTGCTCAGCCTGGAGAAGAAAAGGCGTCAGGGAGACCTTACTGTGACCTTCCAGAGCTTCAAGGGGGCGACGGGAAAGAAGGGGAAGGACTCTTGGTAGGACAAGGGGTAATGGTTTCAAACTGAAAAAGGGTAGATTTAGATATAAGAAAGAACATCTTCATTATGAGGATGGTGAAGCACTGGAACACGTTGCCGAGGGAAGTCATGGATGTCTCAACCCTGGAAGTGTTCAAGGCCAGGTTGGATGGGGCTCTGAGCAGCCTGGTGTGGTGGGAGATGTTCCTGCCCGTGGTGGAGGGGGGTTGGAACAAGATGATCTTTAAGGTCCCTTCCAACCCAAACCATTCTGTGATTTTATAAGATCCATTTCTGACAGAACCTGTCTTAAGCGTCAGTCCTCACGGGGGCTGTCGGTTATGTGCAAACCCAGCCTGAGCACAATAAGAGGAGGTTTGATTTTCTCAGATGATTGCATCGACAGGCAGCACGTAGAAGCAAAACAATTCAGATGAAACTCTTCCAGAAACCGTGCAATTGTTTAGGTAGTTCAGTAACGCGTGGGGATATGGGCTCTGGGTTAGAATGGCCCAGGAGGTATTGGCAGTGTTTGCAGAATATGGAGATCTTAATTTCACAGTATTTCGTTTAGTGTCACTTTTCCCCCTCTGCAGTAGAATCGCATAGCAGTTCGTGTTCTTTGGTCTGAAATAATTAGTGCGTCTGACACAGTGCAGTTCCCACTGGGAGCAATTGTTCAGCTGGTTTGAGTGGTGTTCTAATAGAAATGTTTTGTACTCTTCCAAGTATCCACATTCTTCAGAGAGGAGTGTCTGCAGTACAGGAAGCAATGACATTACGGCACGTAACTGGCATTTTTTTAATGCCCATAATATTGGGATGGAGTCATCCTTTTATCTGAACCGGTCGTATGTAATTGTCCATAAAATAGTAATAGCATGTATGAAATTGTAAAGAGACAGAAGTATTTTTCCTGTTTTTCCCATGTGCACGTTGCCTTCTAGTGCTTTTCTGATGGATGCTGTGAGCGAAGGCGAAGGGCTGCACAGTAGCTTTCTTCACGGGGCATGTGTGTGACTTCTGTTAAAATCAGGCAGTAAAAAAATTAAGAGTTCATTTGAAGTATTGAATTTTGAATTTAATTTTGCCATAACTGCAGGTGAACGCAATGGAAAACGAGCTGGGCTGAGAATAGTCTTTCACGTATTAAAAGATCTACCACAAGCTTCAGTGTAAATTCTGTGCTTGAAACTTTCTAAGAAACTCTCCACCGTGTGCTGACATTGCGTAAAAGTGGTGAAAGAGGCTTCAATGATTTGTTGAGGAGTTGTCACTTTTCTGCGAACTTGACATTTGAGAGTTTTATTTCCAGCTTCAGTGTGTGTTTGTTGTTTCTCTCCCCCTCCAGCTTAGATTTTAAATTTTCTCTACGCTGGGCGAGTGAAGCATAACCTTTTATTTCCCCTTTCCTTTTTGGGGATAAATAATGTTTTGTTCTGGTGCGGGGAGGAATCGATGACCAAAGCTGGTAGATTTTTTTTTTCTTTTATTTTTTTTACATTTCCCCTGTGTTAATTCCCTGTTAGCTGTTTTGACTTGAGTAAGACTCCGAGTGGGTAAGAACGCTTTTGTCTTGCTGTAGGGTCTGTTGTTGCCATCGGTAGTCTGGCAGGTCTGTGAGAGTTCTTTCCCACTTTGTGACCTGAATGTTTCCTCCGAGTAGGTGGTTGCTATGAGGATGCGCCTGCTTTTATTCTTCTAGAAGAGCAAGTCTATGCTTTGATGAGAAAAAATCCAGTGCTAGAACTGGATTTTGGTCTAACATCGACTTAGAAGCCTGTTATCGATATCCCACACCAATTACTAGGTGTAAGGGTACAGCTTTTGTTGGGAGCGCCTGATTACTGGTTTTATTATGCCTGCTCACGTTGTCTGAACACTTAACTGTGAGCTCTGTCTTGATTTAATTTAGATGTTTAAAGATGGTAACAACTGCAGTTATAGCTCTTTGGTTGTAAACTGTGGATGAGAGAATGCATACCTGTATTGTATGCATTTTTCCTGCAAAACTGTTACCTACTTGATTTTTTCAAAATCGGGGGTGAGTGTGCTTTAAATTAAAACAGTTTGCATCTTTCTTATTCGTGTTTTTTCCTTTAAAAGAAGAGAAAAAGGTATTTGTTCTCTAGACAGAGCTTACCCAGGGTTATTGCAACTTGCTGAGAGGAAAACGTGCTAAATTGTTCAAACACATTGCTTGGAAAAGTGACGACCGCCTCCAGAAGAAAGACGGATGGTGATGGTCTGGTGCAAAAGGGAACCTAGGGGTGCGGCTGGTGACTTGCAGCCCTGCTGGCTGTAAACAAGCTTAGAGTTGTGCACTTCTGTAGACAGATTTTTAGTTCTTTTTCCCTGTGCAAAATGTTTTGGAGGGCCACGAAATGAAGCTTAATTATTGGCTTCTGGCATTTGATAGATGGAATTGATATAAAAAAGCTTGGAAGAAAATTGTACGTTTTATAATGCTAATTCGGTCTGACAGTGTAATGATGGCAAGTAGGCAGTACTCTTGCAGAAGCAGGAACTACATGTTTGCAGATATTGACAGTTTCTTGTACATGGTGTGTTCCTGTGGGGAAATGATGCGAAAGAGTTTAAGCTAGAAGGTGAAAACAGGTTCATGAGTATGGAAACTGTTTTACAAATAGTTCTGTGAAATGGCTTTAAATCAGGCTGGACATTTGCGCAAGCCTCATGGGTGCTGGCATACATGGTCATTGGAATGGAAATAGGATTCCGAATTTATTGTGTAATCTAGCACTTAACGACCGTAGTGTATTTCTGTTGAACTTTGGTTCTGAGAAAAGTGAACAAGTAGTCCTTAGTGCCCCACGAGAAGTAAATGGGTAACGCTGCGGTGATAGCTGCTCGTGTGGTATCTTTGTCAGGAATTTTTTACTATGGATGTCTGAGAGAATTATTTCCAAAGCAGTGGAAGCCAGCTCTCCTGTCTGTGACAACCGCAAACATGCAGTTTAAAACACCGCAGTGATCTAAAACGAAGCAGTTTTTAACAGGTTGTGTTACCCAGAGGTTTTGTCCATTGTGATTCAGTGATACGTTACATGATGGGTGCATAGACTTGCAAGGGTAAATAACACTTCAAACAAAGGGCAAATTTCTTCTTCTTTCCTAGAGCTTCGCTGCATGCCGGGGCAGTTTGCGTGTCAGAGTGGGACCATCCAGTGCATCCCTTCGAACTGGCAGTGTGATGGGTGGCCCACCTGCGAGGACGAGAGTGATGAAGTTGACTGCCCAGGTGAGTAAAGCTGAGAAAACAGCTCGTCCCAGTGTCAGCTTCCCTTGCAGCAGTACTTCGACTCTGTAAGATCGTGTGCTTGTTTTTGTTGGGAGGTGGAGACTGCTTGGCAGAATTGCACCCATTATTAATGAACTTTGAGTTGACTTCTCTTCATTTTCTGCAGCTAATGCTACAAGCAGTTTTTTTGCTTGTCTGAACGGTCCTTCCATTCTCGCAGTCGGAGTAGGTATCCTGGAGATGAGGAGACTTTGTAGTGTAAAAAGAGACTTCCATGATAAGAACAAAAGAAATCATGTTGGAATTAAACCAGAATGACGCATATGCCTGTGGTTAAATTTGGAGTTATTGTTTTGGTTGTATATCAGTCAAACTCTTCTGGGCGACATTGCTGGACTTAGGTACAGAGCTTGTTTTATTGCTCCCAGTTCTGATTATGCTTCTTGTGCGTAAGTGGAGAACTTTGTTCTGCCAAACAAGCTGATGTATTTGCTCTTCATAAACTCTTGTGATCATATGTGTTCAGGATCCTATCACTAGCAGTGGTTCTCTGCTAAAACTACTGGATATTGAGCTAACTTAAAAAGACAGGCAAACAAATTTTATATTGTCAATATATAATCACAATGTAGAACATTTGCATTTGTCCTTGACAAAACAGGCCAGTGTAACTCTTTCTGTGTGCCTTAAAAGTGAAGGGACCTGTAATTTTTCTTTTTCTTTTTGCTAAGAACAGTGAAGCAGGAATCTGAAAGCATGAATTCAACTGTAGCATAATTCAAAACTTTGATCTCTACGTTCAAAAACCATTTTAAGAAGTTCGTTGCCACAAGACTGCTCAGTTTGCTTGGGAGAGAATCACGTGAGCTTGGTGGCATCGTCATCACCGCATTCAGTCTGTCATTATTGAGGGTTGAGCTAATTTAGTGAGGTGCTACAAAATGGTCGCCGGTATTTTACTGTAACAAGCGTTTCTAAGTATTCATGTTTTCTAGTGTAATTAGAGAAGTAAATCTAGCACTCAAACTTTGAAACTGTGCTATAGTTAGCTATCTCCCTGGTGTATGCTACGCACAGGTAATTCAAATAATGTGTTCAGTGTTCTTTTTAAAAAGCTTTTGGCTGCTTTGTTTGAGTGTATATATTTGCAGCATGGGGAAAATACGGTTGGTAGTTTCTTTTGACATTGAAAACTAATCTGTGCCAGTGATCATCTGTTTAACGCTATTCTGTATAATGTGTATGCTCTAAAGAAAAATGCTTTTGTAGTTGTGCTGTTATTCTTCCTTCTTTTTGGCTAACTTTGGCCAAATGTGAAAAACTAAGGACTTAATGAAGTCAATGACTAGGGGAAAGCAGTCATGTTACTGTTTGGAAGTACCCAAAAAGCACTGAAGGCTTCACTTGTGGGAATATGGGAACATTCACATTAGTAGAAAACGGTATTTTCGTGTACTCTTGCTGAGCATATTAGTCAGCAGTTGAAGTTCTTACATGAAAGGTGCAGCAGGGTGATGTTGGCTCAAGGACTGGAGCTACCAAGAGTGTTTGGTATGTGGCGAGGAAAAGGACTTTCTGAAAGTACATTTCTCAGTAGATAAGCTCTGCTTTGGTTTGGCGTGTAGGTCTCGCTGGACTGTCTGGCCTGGCGTGATGAGAAGAACTTTAAGTTAAGAAATGAAAGGACACACATAGGAGAGACTTGATGCGTCGCTATGTCTGTATGCAGGAAGAGGAGAATTAACATACGTAAGGAATACTAGAGGGGGAGATGCTGGAAAGCGTAGAGGAGGAAAGTATTCCACTTGGTGAGAGGGGTGGTTGGATAAGTAATTGGTGACAAGGCTGTGCGGGGCAAGAGAGCCAGAAAGCTGGGTGGGGTGTTTATGAAAGAACTGAGATGTTTGCGCAGTAATGCGAGGAGTGTAGCCAGCAAACCAGAGGAACAAGAACTACGGGTGCAAGATGTAAAAACTCTATTATACCTGTAACAAAAAATCGGTGGGATAGCGTTGTGACCTGGAGTGGGTGTTGAAGGGCTTGTTGTTGTTCAGAACTGTGAAGAGTAGGGACAGGTTGGCATGCTGCTGTACGTGTAAATGGTGTGCCAGGGTACAGAGAGGAATAACATGAATGAAAGCAAATCTGAGGCCAGAATAAATCTGGAAGAGCACGATTTTCTTATGTTGAGGAAAGCAATGCACATGTGACCAGTTGTAGGAGGGACTGAGCCCTGGGACGTTGATTTGGGAGTTAATGCTGCTAATAATAGTAGCACATAATCATACTCAGGAGTGATAACTTTCTTCTTTGGCCACTGAATTAACAAGAAATGATGCAACTCTAAATTTAGAAAATGCCTCTGGATTTAGATGAGCAATTGTGAGATGATTCAGCTAAATTTAAATACTTTTTAATTAAGGTTCTTAATTTCAATAAAGGCAAACTGAACACTAAAAGAACTAGTTAGTGTAACTACCTGGACTTGTGAAACTTGAAGAACTAAAATATCTTTAAATTAAAAGGCATGAAATCTCTCTGAAGCATGAAAAGAAAGCTGACAAGAAAGGACTTTGAATCTGGTAGGGAAGCTTGTTACTTTTCAGCCTTTGAGCTACTAATGGCACACTCCAACATGAGCAACTTGGAAAAAGTCAGTGGCTGTGAATTAGGGATGTGTGGTGGTGACGAAGGTGTGTTCCAACGACTACTTAGTCATGTTGGTATTTCCGAAAGTTTAATACAAAGCCATATTAAGTTAGTTGGCACTGTTGATTTAATTCACCTTTTTTAGGCTTGATTTTCATTTATGTTAGTAACAAAGCTCCTGTTAAAATAAGAAGATGATTAATTAGTAAATTAGTTTGGTAATCATGTGTTGTCTGAAGTACAAGAAGCACCCCAAACACTAAGACTTTCTTGTTAGAATAATGTTTTTCTGATGTTTTTTTTCAGAACACAATTAGATAAGACATTAATTTACAGTCTGGTTAAGTGTAGGAGACGCCTGTTTCTTCTAGACTATATAGTTCTCTCAAGGTAGTTGTTACAGCTGTTTTTGTTCTTACTATGTCTTTTCCAAATGACGATTTTCCTTTAAAGCATGGAATTCCTTTCAGTCTCAGACTAGTGCTGTGTGAAGTGCTGTTCCCTCTGCCCTTCCCACTAGGCACGCAAATGGTAGTGGAATCTGCAGCAGCGATTACCCTCAGTTCATCTCCCTGGTAGACTAAAACCATTGGCTGCTTGCTCTTGTGAGCCTACTGAAAATTGCTGGCAGGTTTTGTGTAGAATGTGCTTCCAACTCTCTTCTACGTAAGCAGTGTGAGACTCGTGAAATTTGTGTACTGTTACGTATCAACAGTGCTTGATCCAAAAAATAGTTTATCCCAGAGTGGAATGTTCTGTGAAATGGTAGAAGCAGGCATCAACATCTTAAACGGGGACTTTTACGAATGGGAATTTGTTATTTCTACTCAAGTTTTCTGCACAAGTGATCAAAGTAGTAACATAACTTTTCCACTGTTCTAAAAGTTCTGTATTTAAACTGACAAGGAGGGGCTCTGCAGTTTGCCTTTTACTGCTCACTGGATTTCCAGCTTCGCTTCTACCAGAATATCAGACCAGCTTGTCCAGATAGCCAGCCTTCTTTGCAGGCCTTCTGGTCAAAGCTCACTTTCAGCAGTACGAGTGGGGCAGGGTTTAGGGCAGCTCTGGCTGTTTTATCTGTTTATGCTACAGGCTTGAGTTTGTTTCTGTTACATATGAATAGAGAATGGATGTTTTAAATTCCAGTGCCTTTCTTAAATTCTATCCATACCAGTTTTTCAGCTTGCAGTTGTATTTGGTCATCAGTCTGTTTCCCTCCTTCATGTATCCCTTTTTAAAAAAAATTGATTTCTCCTCAGGAATAGGTGATCAGATTGTGCCATCGACTGTCCTTGGCCTTCTCCCATCATCTGAATTTGAAAACCTTCAGCTCACCCTGTAGCGCACACCCTTGCCTAATGCCATGTTCTTCCTTCCTGAGGTATTTCTCAGTATTGTTTCCGTGACCTGCTTGGTCAGAAACAAGAACACTGGAAAGTTTCAGTGAGCTGAGTTCTTAGGGGATTTCGCCCTCCCTGAGACTGAGGCCACAACCAGCACTGGTCAGCTGGCCATCCTGGTGGCCACCAGCATCTACAACAACTTTGCACATCTCTCAAGTGCCTTCTTAGCAGTTCTTTATTGCCCTGGAAAAACTCGTCGTTGTTGCTGCTCTTGGAGACATAAAATTCAGGTCAAATAGATGCAATTTAGTATTTGAAGAGCACCGATATATTAAGCAGCTGCCGTGGTGGGTTTGAAGAAGTGACTG